GTCGTACTGCATGTCCAAGAACCCAATGTGGGTTCTAGGACGAAGGAGCAGAAGGTCCTGTATGGAATAAACACATAGTCTCCCGTTACTTCACGAACACATGTACGCTCATAAAAATTTGAACAAAACATATAGATTATTACCTGCCCCTCTGCTATGAGACGTCCTCGGTGGGTCTCCTCGTACGTCGGGTCGAGCAGGTGGAATTGCGCCATCCTACAAAAAAAAGTCAATGAAATAGAAATTCAATATACAATGAAACATTAACTTAGAAATGTACAAGTAATTGACACAATTATAAGCATAAATTGAGACATGCATAATTAATTGAATGAATACGATAAATATGAAATAATGAAAACAACCAATAGTCACACCTCACTAATTTGCCAATGGCAAGTGCGTGAATTATGGCCCAGTCTACCACACTTGCCACACTTGTACTGCTCGGGGTCAGTAAGAAATGGGGTTCCTCTCCCACGCCTCATTCTTCTAGGTATCTGATCCATAACCATCCTATGCCTCGTCCTCTTCCTTAATCCACGCTTGTTCCAATGATAAGCTGGATCCACAATGTACTTTAGCCCATCATATGGAGGCCACTCTCCACGGTCCAAGAAAGGCACAAAGCGGGGCTCTATGTGTGCACAAGTGTGTCGACACTAAACTCATGAGATATCCTGCTCTCGATATTATAGTTGCGATGCCTAGCTAGCCACCAAATGGGAACATAGAAAGTGGTACTGCCTTGGTTTACCACAAGTGCATGTGAAATCTTGGAGGACTACCACATGCATCCTCGACTCTCGGACCTCACCATCGAACGTTGTACCGCCCCTATGCTCGACCTGATAAGTCCCTATGGCATGGTCAAAACATGTAACCTCATGTGTGCTAGCCCTTTCATTTGCCTTCTCTAGGTGTGCCTTTGGTTTTGGAGCCCATATCTCTCCATCACTCCGCAACTTCAATGCATGGACATGTCTATCGTGGAACCAGGCAACAAGCTTGTAGAAGGTGAATTGAACGATTGCATTCACGGGCATACCACGTATCCCCAATAGCAACTTATTGAATGGCTCCGCCATATTGCTGTACTGAAACTCGTACCTCCATCCACCGGCGTCGTGAGCCCTTGTCCATTTCTCCAAATCCCTTATCAAACATGTGAGCCATTGTCTACCTTCTGCATTTGATGCGGTTCTGACCTGCTCCAATTTTTTCTGAAAGTACTTGTCCTCAAGCTATCGAGCAACCTCCTGGAATAGATCAAAGTTATCCTTCACACCATCCTTCTGGAGTAGATTCTCGGAAAGGTGTCGAGTACACCAACGATGGTGCAAAGGTGCATACCCCTCTATCTGCTCTCGCACGACATTAAGTATGCCCTGGTGCCTATCAGATATGACGCCAACCTCCCTGTTAGGCCCAACCACATGTATCTGGACTAGCCTCAAGAACCATCCCCAACTGTCATTGTTCTCCTTCTCAACCAAAGCAAATACCAAAGGAACCAACTTGTTGTTCACGTCACATGATATGGCTATAAGAAGTGTGCCCTGGTATTTGCCAATTAAGAACGTACCATCAATGGAGAAGACGGGACGACAGTGCCTAAAGGACTTGACACATTGAGGGAAGCACCAGAAAGCACGGAAGAATATCTGCCTCCCATCCTTCCGTGCATTTGGTTTTGGGATGTACTCATAATGCATGCCTGGATTCACCGCTTTAATTGCATTGAAAAGTACTGGCAGCTGCTCATACCCATCCTCCCAGTCCCCATATATCATCTTCCACGCTCGCTGCTTAGCCCTCCAAGCTTTACCATAAGTTATCACATAACCTCTATACAATGCCTCAACGGTCCTGATAATTGTCCTAACCTTTATGTTGGGTTCTCCCTGTAATATTCTCATCAACCGCTTGGCAATGAGGATAGATGTCAACTGTCGATGCTTCAGTGTCAGCACATGGTCAGCACAATTGTGTGGCCCGATAACTTTTGTGATCTTCCACTTTTTGGTGACCTTTTGCTTCCTTGCACAAACCTTCCATGGGCAGCATTCCTTGTCACACACAACTGTGTAACGGCGCTCCGCATATGAATGTAAGACCTTGTAAGGTCTCTTTCGTATCACTGCAAATGCCTGCAACCACCTCTTCAATGCAGGGAGGTCCTTGAATACCCTACCCTTCTCAATTACCATGTTAGGGCTGGCCTTAGAAGCTTCTAGGAGCTCATCATCACGTCCTTCTACACACGCCTGATCGGAATGAGTAAGATCGCTGAACTCATGAACTCTTGGATCACGACGGCCGAGAAAGATACACCTCAGCATCTCAACATCACTCTATCAGCTCTCTAACTGGATGATCATCATCAGAATCAAGAGCCCTTGCCATCTCATATGGCTCCGAATCATTCATAATTTCAACACTATTGGAGCCACGAAATTCATCTCCACAGTGCGGAAAGAATGAAAAAAATGGATGTAAGGAAGGGGGTAAGCTCCCAATAGCCATGCGGATAAGACACTTACTCGAACGATTCTGTGTCAAATGGATCTCATGAGGAGGATCTGCCACAACATCATGAGTCTGACAAGCATATCTGACTAGCTCATTGGGGGCAGATTGAGCATCGGGAACCGTAGGTGGAACCTCTACATCCATATCAGGTTCCGAGATGGGAGGGTCGAAGTGTGCCTGCTGACCCAATGGTGGGGAAAACCCATGAGGGACGGGATCAACTAACACCCGACGCACAACCACATCCAAACTTTGGAACTGGCACTTCATAGCTGATCTCACATAGTTCTCCCACTGGTCTGCACACCCAATTGGGATCATCTTCCTTAGGATGTTGGGAGGGGAATCTAGGTGAAGTACACCCTCCACTGCGATGCCATCATCTCCATGGCAATGTAGCTTCTCCCGAGCCCTTGCAACCAAATCACTAAATGAAGGCTTCTCATTGAATAACACAGGCATGCTTTGCATCTCAACAAACTCAACATATCCATAGTCATCTCTTTCCACGGTGCCTCCATGATATATGCTCACTAGGTTGTCCATCTATTTCATACACATAAGGACGCACAATTCCTTTAGTCCAATATAAATGAAGCATACTAAGTACAAGGTCTCTAGTATGTAATAACTAACTAAATAGATACTATCAATTCACTACTAACTACTAAGTACTACTAACTAACTATGTCAAGTAACTATCTAACTAACTATGTAACTAAGTATATAACTATTTAACTAACTATCTTACTAACTATATAACTATGTAACTAACCATATATCTAACTATGTAAAGTATCCATCAATCAACCTATCAATCTAAATATCTTTCTACCTATCTAAATCACTACCACACTAACCAACTAATAACCACTGTTAAATAACAAAATTTAAAAACTAATGTACCTCGAGTGCAGGGGAGGTATAGCCGGTCAACAAGAGGCAGAGACGGCAGGCGGGGAAGCTGTCACGCGCCCACGAGTGCACCCGGCCGGCAACCGGAGTGGCCAAGCGAGCGAGGGCGGGCGGCCACAGGAGGCCGGCAAATGGCACCCCGCTACCGGCCTATGGCCTCCGCTGCCCTTGTGGAGCGGGCAAGGGAGGGCGGCGCAGTAGGTACGGCGTGGTCGCTCCCGTGCGGGTTCGACGACGGGTAGGGCGGCGCGACAGTCGTGGGAGGGGCACGGCGCCTCGTGGCTCGGCACGCGGGGTGGGGATGGGCGCTGCGGGGCTCTCCGGCGGCCGGCGGGCAACACGGGCGCGGGCGGGGGGCTGGCCGGGCGCGGCGAGGAGTGGGATGGCGGGCGCGATGGGATGGGCGCGTCTCGCCGACGCGGGGCGACGGGCGCGTCTGGCGCACTGGCCGGCGCGACGAGATAGGGCGTGGCCACGGGCGCGTGGGAGGCGGACGGGTGCACGGGCGGGCACGGGGCGGCGGCGGGCGGGATGAGGCGAGGCGGCGCATGGGCGGCACGCAGCGGCGCGGCGGCGGCCGGGTTGGAGAGGCCGGCGGTGGGCGCGGCGCGCGCCGCCGTGGCGGGGCGTAGCTGTGTGGCGGCGCGCAGCCAGCCGCGGGCGGGCGGGAGGGCAGCCCGCCGGCACGAGGCGCCTAGGGATGGGGGCGCGGGACTAGGACGAGTGGCGCCGGTGGCGGGAGGTGTCGGGCGAGAGAAGGAGTGGGAGAGAAAGGAAGAGAAGGAAGAGAGAAAGGAAACGGACCCACTTGTAAGGCCGGCTCGGTGCCAGGATCTTTGGCGCTAAGCTCGGCGCCAAGATCTACGGCGTCAAGCTTGGCGACAAGATCCACGGCGCCGAGCTGGCTGCCATGTCACTCCCTGCTCTACTTTGATGCCGACGTGGCCCCCCGACCTAGGCGCCAAACCCTCTGGCGCCGAGATGTATAACATCGGCGCCACCAACGATGGCGCCGAGTTAATGGTTCAGATTTTGAAAGCATTTCTCCAGGGCATATTTGTAAATAACTTTAAAAAAAGGGAAAAAATTCGGGGCTGTCGTAGCTGCGACCTGCGTGCGTATACGGAGACGGAGGGACGTGGTTTCTTCTTCTTCTTCTCCTCCTCCTCCTCCTTTCTTCAGTAGATATGTACTGTATAGTGGAGTCGTCGTTTAGTGCAGTGCTCTCTTCCGCCTCTGCTTTCTTCTTCTCCCTCCCTGGTCGTCGCGGCCTGGCCGGTGCAATTATATATCTCCGTGCCGTCAGATAGCTAGCCCTCCATCGATCCATCGATCATCCATGCATATAATATAAATTATATATTCCAAACCTAGCTAGCTTGGTTACTTGAAGCAAAGCAAGCAAGCTACTAGCTAGTTAGGCATCCATCACTCCATCCATCCATCCATCCATGAAGAAGAGCTTGGAGGAACAGCGCGACGAGGAGGGGGCGGCGTTGGTACCGCCGCCGCTGCCGCAACATGAACAGGAGGAGGATCCGGAGAAGCAGCAGATGGAGGATGAGCACGACGGTGAAGATCAGCACACAAGAAGGACGACGACGACGACCAAGCAGACGACGGAATCATCATCAGCCGAGCGGCAGCTGGTGGCGGCGTGGTGGAGACGGAGGGCGCAGAAGCTGGTGCCCACCAGAGGCGTGGGCCTGGTCATCGCCGGTCTCCTCGTGCTGGCCTTGCTCGTCGGCGGCGGCGGCACCAGCCGCTGGATCCACCTCGACTACGCATCGGTATGTAGCTACTTAGCTAGGATCCTCTCATGTGCATACATGTCCTTAATTACTGCACACATAATTACTGGCTTACTGCAGAGTATATGAATGAACTGCACACATGCAAGAAATTAAAGCATGCATTCTGCATGATACTCGTAGTATATATGCATGATTTGTAACGCGGCAGCAAGCTAGCTATAGCAGCTAGCTGACGATGCATGGTAGTATGGTTTACGGTGGAGGATCGGATCGATAATAATAATCAAAAGGAAAATTAATATATAATCCCCAACATGAACAACCTGGCCAGACCCGGACACACGGCAGAAGAAGGCTTCAACCACATCTTCAACGCGTGAAATAGAAATAGAATAGAATGGAATGGAATTCAGCAAGAAATTCTTCTCTCTCTCTACTTTTGCTGCTATCTAGATAGTCCACGGATTACATATGCATGATATCATCGTCAAGACTCCCAACATATCCAAGGCAGCCACGCATGCATGCAGCTAGTAATAGCTAATCTATGGGCGCCCTTCAACCTTGACTAATCAATCTTCCTTCACACGTACGATGCATGACGATATATGACAACGACATCACAAACTAACTTGTAGTCGGCTACAGTATATATATATATATATATATATATATATATATACCGCTTGGCTGATAAGCCATCACTAAAAGTACTGTTGGCTGATTCGTTATAAGAAAAAAATACTATTTGTTGGCTGAAAAAGTACGGCTTATAAACAAAATGAACAGACTATACTTCTCCTACAGTAAGGGCCTGTTTGGTTTCCTCCTGCTAAACTTTAGTCACTTTATCTACTAAACTGCCAAACAAACTAACTAAAAAGGATTAAAGTAGTTTAGTCACATTAGTATCCTAAGAAAGTGCCCAGTGGACAAAGGCTGCCCCTCATTATTGCTTGCCCCTCACCCTGATTTGTGCATTCATTAGGGGTAGTTTAGTTTTTGTTGAACTACTTTAATAGCCTTTAGTCATTAGAATCAAACAGAAGTGACTAAAGTTTAATTATTGATTTTACCAGTTAAACAGGAGCTAAGGAGCCGGAGTCCTAAAGTAATTAACCCAATTATACTAATACGTAAGTCAACACTCGCCCGGCGCCGGCCCCGGCCCTTCATCTTTTTTTTCTCTCTCTTCCTACCTTGACTTGGAAATGGAAACACACACTAGCTAGCTAGCATAGCAGAATATAGGACTGCCTAGCTGACCGTTCAAAGCGCTTCAATGCCTGCTAGCGGCTACCCTGTACAGTAGTAGCTCTGGATGTGAGCTGATCGAGATACATGATTGATGTTGAGAGGCAGGCAAAAGGGTAAGGTCGGGTAGCTATAGCCATCTCCAGTGCAAGAATGCATGTGCGTGGGTTCCTTGCGTGGTCACGTACGCACATATATGCACCATCCCTTACCAATCCATCACGAGGAAAGCGTCTCACGGGATATGCGCCATATTTCTAGCTTCCACACATATATGCATGATGCATCAATTGTCATCGTCCTAGCTAGCTAGGTTCATCTATACCGTATATGTATGTATGTACGACTATGTACGTAGTAGTACCCGCAGCTTCACAGTTCAAAGTCCAAATAAACTAGCTAGGTCGTACGTGCCAAATAATTAAATAAGGCCACATATTGATCGATCGATCTGGCCGCCCGCCCATGGAAAGAAATTAGACGTGCGATACCACGTACTGACTTTTCAACAAACAAAATTCCATCCATTGTTTTGACTTCCAAACCCTGACTTGGCTGTGTGCACCGATAGCGATGTCCATCTACCTTGCTTTTGTCACACCCATGACCACGACAAGCTATTTACTACTAGTGCTCTCTCCATTTCAAGTCGTAACCTGTAATAGCTTTTCTAGAAAAATACTCCCTCTATCCGTCCATAAAAGAACGTAATTATGGTATCTGTGCTGATCAATTGAGCTCAAATTTGAACTAAGTTTATAATAAATAGTATTAGCATTTATGTCTCTAAATATATTTATTATGAAAATATATTCTATAACTAATTTAATGGTACTTATTTTGTATAAAAAATATTTATACCTTTTTATATAGATTTAGTTAAAGTTTGGATTGTTTGACTCCTCGAAATCCGAGAATTGCATTCTTTTGTGGATGCATGTAGTAACTTTTGTTAATTACACACATAGATATATATTATGTCTAGATACGTAGTAAAACCTATATATGTATTTACAAAAATCAAAATGACTTTTAGTTTACAACTGGGGGAGTAACTATAATAGGGTCGCTACATACTTTCTCATAAGTATACATAGTGCAAACAACCAAAAGCGCCAAAGTCCCATCGGATCTCCTTTTTTTCCCCTCAAGCTTTCACTTGAAGAGGGCAACTTATACTCTTTGAGCTTCTCATCTTTTTTCATTGGCTTAAGCTTTCGGTCTAATCGGTGCATGTATACAACTTACAGTTTGACCTAAACGGTCCATTAAATGGTTTGACCCCATTAATTGGTTTGACTGTTTGAACAACCAAAAATAGGGAAAGCAACTTAAAATGCAACTGATAACTACACCTCTGCCAATTAAACCGCTGTTTCGACAAGGTTAGTGCTGTGCCACTGAGTTAGTGTTCCCCGACTAAGGAGGGTTAGGCTCATTCAGTGGGTGGTAGTAGTAGATATGAGAATGAGATTTCAACCACCACAACATTGGCATGCCACAAATTGACATAGTAAATATACGAGGGAGACTAAGATTTAATAATTTCCTTCACAGAAAAATTTTACTCGCTCAAATACTTTATTTTGGACATGCATAAATATGTGTATGATATATACTACTACTACCACCCACTGAATGAGCCTAACCCTCCTTAGTCGGGGAACACTAACTCAGTGGCACAGCACTAACCTTGTCGAAACAGCGGTTTAATTGGCAGAGGTGTAGTTATCAGTGGCACAGCTACATAAGTGCTTTGTTAGGGTGAGAATTGATGGATGGAGACAAACACTTGCACCATTACGTTGCATCATCATCCCATCCATTACAGTATTGTATATAGAGGTAGTAGTACTCTCTCCGGTTCTCTAAAGCAAGTCGTTTTAAATATCGACACGGTCTTTAAGAAACGACTTTGACTGCAACTTTTTGCTATAAAATATTTATAAAATATAGTCAATATTTACTTTTATGAAACTACATTTCGAGATGAATCTACTTACATCACTTTCATATTTTCAAACTCAACCCAAAAGAAGTTATTTATAGTCAAAGTTTAAAATGTTTGACTTAAGACAACCTCAAAACGACTTGCTTTAGAGAACCGGAGGGAGCTAGTAATTAGAGAATTGCTATTTTTCAGCTGTCTGAATTTTCAGACAATAATTTTACACAACCAACTTGTACAATTAAAGCAAACTCACAAGGGATAATTTATATTATTTTATAGTCAGACAATAACAAAATTACATGTTATCTAACACAACAATGAAAAATCAGACACCTTAGATATGGGAGTGCAGTAATTATAGTCAGACGAGAATAGTATGTCAGTTTCTTGTGTAATCTTTTGCATTGGCACCTGGCACAAGTCATTTGAACTTATGGCATTGCATTGTTCTCTCTAAATTTGCATGCATGTTGGTTGCAGTCGTTTCTGCTTGGGAGCGGCGGCGGCGTGAAGCAGCACCGATGGCCTCCTCACCACGTCCCCTCACCTGAAGCGGACCTCGTGCCCATACCCTTCAGCTGCGGCAACGGCACTGGGTCGCCGGGGACATGCCGCCGCCAGTGACACGACGACAGTACAATCCCCCTCTCCGTCGCCGTCATTGCAACCAGTAGCGTCGTCGACGTCGTCCTCCAAATCAGCATCGAAATCCGCCCCTCCTCCTCAGTGCCCGGAGTACTTCCGGTACATCCACTCCGACCTGTCGCCATGGCGCGAGACGGGGATCACGCGCGAGGCGGTGGAGCGGGGGCGCGACCGGGCGGCGTTCCGGCTGGTAGTCGTGGATGGCCGCGCGTACGTGGAGACGTACCACCGCGTGTTCCAGACGCGGGACACCTTCACGCAGTGGGGCATCGCGCAGCTGCTGGCGCGCTACCCCGGCCGCGTGCCGGACTTGGACCTCATGTTCAACTGCGAGGACATGCCGGAGGTGCGCGCCGCCGACTTCGCTGCCGCGCCGTTCCATGCGCCGCCGCTGTTCCGGTACTGCAAGGACGACTCGACGCTGGACATCGTGTTCCCGGACTGGTCCTTCTGGGGGTGGCCCGAGGTGAACATCCGGCCCTGGGCGCCGCTGCTGGAGGAGATGGCGGCCGAGATGGCGCGGCTGCCGTGGGCGGAGCGGGAGCCGTACGCGTACTGGAAGGGCAACCCCAGCGTATCGGGGGAGCGCGGCGACCTCCTCCGGTGCAACGACTCATCGGGGAAATGGAGGACGCGCGTGTTCTGGCAGGACTGGGGCGCCGCCATCCGGGACGGCTTCCGGGACTCCAACCTGGCGAAGCAGTGCCGATACAGGTACAAGATCTACGTGCGTGGGCGGTCGTGGTCGGTGAGCCAGAAGTACATACTCGCCTGCGACTCGCCGCTGCTCCTCGTCGCCACCCCCTTCAAGGACTTCTTCTCCCGGGGCCTCGTCGCCGGCAAGCACTACTGGCCTATCGAACCCGGCGCCCGCAAGTGCGCCGACATCAAGTTCGCCGTCGACTGGGGCAACGCGCACCCGGAGCAGGCGCGCCGGATGGCCGAGGAAGGCAGCGGATTCGCGCGTCACGACCTCAGCATGGACTACGTCTACGACTACATGCTGCACCTGCTGACCCAGTACGCCGGCCTACTCCGCTACAAGCCCACCGTGCCGGAGAACGCCGTCGAGCTGTGCGCCGAGACTGTCGCGTGCCACTCTGCCGCGCACGCTAATAACAGGGAATTCGACTTCATGATGGAGTCCAGGGAGAGGTACGTCGCCGACTACCAGCCCTGCACGCTGCCGCCGCCCTTCACCGCCGATGAGGTGAGGGAGATGACACGAAGAGACCAGGAGGTGCGCGCCAACGTGCACAAGATGATGACCACCATGACTCCATGACGACCTGATGATCAGCTAGATAGCTAGCTGACGTCGTCCTTAACTCCTTACTATACGAAATACGATACGATACGACTCCACGCACGTCACCAAGCTCCACGTCCACAACATTCATGGTCCAGTCATGGATTCTGTTACTATTTTTCCATTTTACTATTCTCTATTCTCTATATATCTATACATTTCTGGATATCCAAAATTCTTTATAGTCGTACGTATAGATGATGAGATTATATATGACAGCGTTGGCCCACTGCATGGGGACTGGGAAACAGAAACTTCTTATATACTCAATACTATTGTTCAAAATAATTAATCTTATAATCTTACAACACATCGGCTGTATTTATTTATTTTTCCAACATGTAACTATTAATAAAAGGGTTCAATTTTCAAACTCTATTCAAATTTACACGTTTTTGTAATACATGGCACTGATGTGTAGGCATGAGGCTCATGGGCCAGCAATTTTGGCCCGGCACAGGCATGGCACGAGCCTATGCTAATCGTGTACGGCATGCTTGGCCCCATTAACCTATCTCTTATCAAGCGAGGCAACAGGGGGGGGTGGACGTTAGAGCGGACCACTAGGCCAGTTTTCACGTTGAGGGACCACTAGAAGTAGTAATTGCTTTGTTTAGGGCTGGATCAAGGGGTGGAGCCCCAAGCCCTAGGTGCAAACCGGCCCTGCATATGTATACAATTCTTCGACCCTCAAATCCTAGCTTCTTCGTTCTTCCCTACCGCCGCCATCCCAGCTGCACGCTGCTTGCTGCTGCACCACACTTGCCAGTAGCCTGCTGCCTTGCTTGTTGCTGCACCGCACTTGCCAGCAGCCTGCTGCCTTGCTTGCTGCTGAAAGTCTCCTACTTGGTCAATGCATTCACACGAACAACCTTGCATGCCACACCTTCCTGCTCTTTGCACGCACTCGTGTCCAGCACCCTACGCCCAGCCTCCTCTTCACTCCTTGACATGCTGCAAGAAACAGAGACACCGTCCGCCATGCTCGTACTTTATCTCCAAGCATGAGCTCACAGCTCACCATGCTCCTTGTGATCATCTCCAACGGCACCCTCGCAGCCTCCGTCATGCGTGCTCACCCACACAACCTTGCTGCAACAGCTGCGCCTCCCACGTCGCCATCTCCCGGACAACAACATCCGCATCTTGCCGCAGGCCCTGTAGAGCGTGGTCCACCTGCTCGTTCAGGCTCTGCCGTGACAACGATGCCCTCGCACACCTCCTGTGCACAAGACATGCTGCACCATGGCCACACATCACCGACACCCTCTGCTCGCTGTGTCGTGCCGCCGCCCCTGTGCAACGCCCGGTCACACGACCACCACTATGGTGCTCCCACCACGTCTGGCCCTGTTGGTCTGGATCGCGAGCCAAGGCCGACGCTCCCCGTGCCGCCTTCACCGGCCACTGTGTTGGTCCGACCGCCACGCTGGTTGATCCTCACCGACTTGCAACCCGTTGGACGGTCTAGGCCTCCTACCTAGAGTGTCCAACACCACTGACCGGAGCACCGGTCGCCACCATGTTCCACCTTGTGCCACCTTGAGCAGCACCGCAGCACCCGTCGAGCATGATCTTCGAGCCTCCACCTCTTCCCTCGCCTCCTAAGATCCTCAAAACAACCATACAACTCCGATACCAATTGTTGTGATATTGGCGCCTAACACGAATCGATTGCTTGGATCTACCTAGGCGAGATGCTCACGAGAGATCGCACACAACACACAAGAGATTTGATGTTTGGTAACAAGGTTCGGCCGAAGCCTATGTCCCCAGGGCATGCTTATGGGCGCTCCTCCCCGATACCATGACACCGGCTACCCGGGGCACCGGCCAAAGCTGCCAGCACCCCTCGCAAGCTTGTCACTACATGTTGCTTCTCACTCTCGTGATGGGAGTGGGTTACAAGTGCAGCCCCCTCTCTTTCTATAGAGGGATCAGGTTAGAAGAGCCAACACCTAGCTCACCTAAACCTATAATGCTAATTACAACATAAGTCTATTGTAACCCCACTAGTACAAATAAATATTCGACATATTTTTATCATCTATGAAATTTATGGCCTGTTTCCACCGTATGTTACTACATGTTATGCAAATGCACAAAAACCGTGGAGATGGTCGCCAAGGAAGGCAGTTTCCTCAAGTTGGCTGTTTTTTTTCTTGAAACAATAAGTTGGCTGTTGAAAGGTGAAAGGGAGCTCGGCCAGCTCGGTGAAAGGGAGCTCGGCCAGCTCAGCAAGGCCTAGGTGCAAACCCGCCCAACATATGTATATAATTCTTCGCCCCTCAAATCCTAGCTTCTTTGTTCTTCCCTACCGCCGCCATCCCAGCTACACTCTCTTTTCCCTTCCACATAGGTTAGTAGTGTGGCTCCGCTCGGTGGTGCGGCCTCAACGAACTCGCGTGGTGGTGTGGTCGGCCATTGCAAAGGCGGTAGCCGCATCCTCCTCTTGGATTTGATCCATTTTTTTTACATAGGATTTGATTTGACTTTGTGTGTATGAACAATGAATGTGAAGGATGAATTTCATGATCAAAGATTCCTCTTGATTTCGTGTTTTGTTGAGCTAGTCGGGCTAGCATGACCCATTGGGCCCGTTAGGCCGGCATGGATAACCCAACATACCGTTGTGCCGGCCCAACCTCGGGTGGTCCATGCCTTATTGGGCCTGTTCCGAGCCACCCATTTTTGGCCATCTATACCAATATGACCAAATCTAATACCTTTTGCATTTTAGGAAAATTAGGAAATGTTAACTTCTTTCACTCACGCCATATCTATAAACCAAATATATTTTGGCACATATATGCATCTTAAATTTCCTTCATATTCCCTCAATTTCAAATTATAAGATGTTTTGGTTTGTCTAGATACATAATTTTTACTATGCATTTAGATTTATATCATGTCCAGATATATTGTAAAAGCAATATATCTAGAAAAGACCAAAATATTTTATAATTTAGAATGAAGGGAGTATGTGCTTAATCGATATTCTAATTTTTTTTATGAGGACATGGTTCCAAAACTTTGGAAATTAGTAAATAACTTTAAACAATGCTACCCATCAGTTTTTAAATTATTACACTATTGATTTTTTTCCATTTATTTGCATCTTTTGTAAATACTAGGTTTGTGGACGTGGGTTGCAGCGGGGGAGCTGAAAATTTGTTACAAGATAACTCGCTGATGAATCAGCGTCAAGCTTCCCAAGGAGGCCATCGATGAGGATGGATATGTCTGGTTCGTTGCTCACCAATCACACATGTCCGTGTAGCTGGATAGTCATTGAAGTTGCCCCAAGATACTCACGTACATTTCATAGTTGTCAAATCTTTGTCGCATCTCTATACTTACCAATAACAACCGTGACAAAAACGCTAGTAAGGATGCTAACAAAAAAAATAATCGGTTTTCAAGACCATGTAGTTCCTACTTGTCCTCATTATGGATGTCCAGCAAATGGTTGCTTGGCAAAAGCAAAAGTTCTTCAGCCTATTATTGCTAGAAATATATAAATACATATATTAGAGCATCTCTAGAAGACTCTCCATATCCTTCCTAAATGCTAGAAATAGAGATTTTGGTGAAAAACTATCCTCCAACAGCTTCTCCAAATGATCATCAAAATATAGCTATCTTCTATTCTGGATTTTTCGCTAGCCAAAAATAGAAGACGAGAATGATTCTCTAGAGTGTGCATGAGATATAAAAAAACTGTCGGAGAGTGAAAAGATATAGAAAACGATTTTTAAGCAAATGACTCTCTAAATGATGATTTAAAGAGTGAGATTTAGAAAGGCTTTTGGAGATGCATTTAGATGTTGTCTATCAAATTTATGCTCTGTTCCCACCATGTGCTTATTTTCTATGTGTCGAATGGTCTTGCATCTTTAATTAAATTGGACTAGCATTATCCCTATATTTGTCTCAAAAATTAAATATTTATGATATTAATGACTGCATGGTTTATTCCTTACAACACACATATAAGTGTTGCAACAAAGTAAATCAATATGTTGCAACAAACCATAGAAGTAGTTTGCCGATGGTTTGTACAAACACATATAAGCGTTGCCATAACCTATCATTATGTGTTGCAACTTTGCAACGGTTATTAGTATGTGTTACCAACATATAAATAAGTGTTGCAATTGATCCTTGCAATGCCACTTTAAGCAACGCATATTATACGCGTTGGTAACTTGGTATAAATCCTGCCAACACATATATGGACTTTTAGCAACGCATATTCGCGTTGCAAAAGGGGGTGTCATGTTGTAGTGAGAGTTTGTATATATAAAATTAGATGTTTATGATTATTTGCCACATGATCAAATGGGATTAGTGATCCAAATAGCATATTACCATGACCAACCCGTTTAAAATAAACTTTTATTGAACTTAATAGTCCACAAATCAAGGCTATAATCGGGGCTCCTAATAATTATGAACTACTTAGGGTGTGTTTGGATCCTATATATAGGCTAAGTGGCTAACAACTCTTATCTAAAATTTTGCTTAGTCATCCAAATAGTAGAGCTAATTTTTAACAAGTATTGACTAGTTGTTAGCCCATTAGCGAAGGATATAAACGTGCACTGACTAATATTTAGATGGCTAATTTTTTAGCTAACTTTTTAGCTCGGCTAATAATTAGTTTTAGCCGATCCAAATAAACCTTACTATTCTTATGTCTACTTGGTATCGAGTCTATTTGTACCTCAAATGGAAAAAAAATCTCCACAATACAAATCTGAACACTAGAGATAGTCTGCAAACATGCAGTAATTACTTGCTTGGCATTGGTCAGCTCGAGCTTATTTCATGCTGCGACTCTTTCTTTCAGACCTCCAGGTTGCACGCCATGGCGTGCTTGCAGTTTCAGCACACACCAAAGACAAGTAAGCGTCTGAGCGTATGTAAAAACGGCACCATATGCCGTCCGTCCCTACATCCACCAAGCACGCAAG